GTGCGGACTTAGTCTTGGAGTCCAAAGTGTTTTGAAAGAAAAAATTATTTCTAAAAATGGTGACCTGGCACACCAAAATCAAATGCCAAGTTGTGGCTCTAAAAATCTTTTGAAACACAATATTCTTTGTCACTTTTAATTAAAAACCCTTTTTGAGCTTTACAAATCTTTTTATATATTTTTAAGAGGGTAAGTGAGGTTGTAAAAAAAAGGGGTGTGACAGCTCTGGCGACTCTGCTGAGGAATTGCAGTTCGAGTTGATACTACGATCTTGTTGGCTTTTTAGAATATTCGGTTGAGGTTTTTATGCTTTTTTATTAGTTTTATTTGATTTGTATTATGTTTTTATATTTTGTTATTATTTGCTAGTTGTTTGTGTGTTTACAGTTTACTTTTTATGTGTCTACTGCTTTATAACTTTCATCATATGTATTACCTGGTCAATTTTTTCTGCAGCAAGTCTCGGAGTACGCGTCACGTACACGAACTCTTTATTGAGTCACCATTATTTTAGGAGGGGGGCCGTCGGACGTATGGAGTGGGTGGAAAGCTTGAGCATCCACCATCGACCATACGCTCTCCCTGAATTGCCTTATTAGTGAACCCCAAACTAAGGTCAGCCTTTAGGTCATTCTTAGTTGTCATTTAGACCTAGTAGGGCTCGGTCCCAGGCACCGTGTCTCTTTGTAGGAGGCCTATCCAAATTATGTCATAACGGGCCCGTGGCCAAAAAAGGCATTTAATCATCCCTATGTGCTACATGCTGCATTCATTAAGGGTAAATGGGTCATTTGGCGGATCAATGAAGGTTGAAGGTAAATGAGAAAGAAAAGAGGGTGAAGTATAAAGATGAAGAAAGTAGGGCCCAGTTATCTTTTTCTTTCATAACTTTTTCAAGAAAAGACAAAAAAATTGAAAAAATAAAAAATCCAAAAAGATCTTGCACTTCCCCACCATTTTTTCGAAAAATAATCCAAAAAGATTTTACATTTTCCATCGTTTTTCAAAAAGACAAAAAATTTCCAAATTAGTTGCATTTTTTAAGCTTTCTCCCATGTCCAATCTTCCCGAACTACACGAACCTAATTTTCGTCTTTCGGGGCAGGATACGTAGGCATTCCACATAGGGTCCGGTCTTCCTAGTGGGTCTTAGGTTCTTGGCTTCGAGGGTCGTAGCCTAATCTTGCATGTCTAGCCATTTCTGGCCACATCGACCGTTTTTTCAAAATAGGGCTATTTTTGCAAAGTGGTTTGTTTAACTGTGTTTGGAGTCTTGAATCCACAATTACGTGTCTCTTTACTTTAAGGCTCGTCCTTGTCGAATTTGCATGTCTAGCCGCTTTTGGCCACATCGGCCATTTTTGCAAAATGGGGTCACTTTCTCAAAAGTGGTTCAATCACGTCTTAGAATTTTAGTACACAACTAAATGTCTCGTTCCTTTAAGGTCCATACTTTTTGAGTTTGCACCTTTAGCCACTTCTGCCATATCGGCCGTTTTTGCAAAATAGATCATCTCCGCAAAGTAATTTTTAAGGCCATGATTGTTGGGAACTTGAAGACATGTAAGCCTTAAATGGGGTATTTTTCATGCATTAGAGGTAAACTTTGTTGAGTTTGCACTTCTAGCCACCCTCGGCCACTTAGGCTATTTTGTACAAAATAGCCCAATCGTGTCTTGCATCTGTCCACTAAGAAGGGTTGTGGTGTCACGTAGTGTCTCGAGTCGCTAACCATGTTCTCTTCAGTCAGGTATGGACCCGCTAATTCGATCTAAGGTGCTGATGGTATTAAAGGTTCCTAGGAAGTTTGTCAAGTGGTGGAAAATATTTTCACTGTTAGAGCAGCATGAGTTAATGGAGAAATTAGGCACCCTCACTTCCCTTCTTGATATCACACCTCGCCCAGACTTAGTGGAGGCGATGTTGACCTATTGGGATCCGTAAAATTTGGTTTTCAGATTTGGAGAGTGTGAGATGACTCCTACCTTAGCAGAAATGTCTGGTCTAACTCATTTAAGCTATATAGGCAAAGACATGATACTTCCCCGAGATCACTCTAGGACAAGATTCCTTAGCGACCTAGGCCTGAAAGACAACAAGCATTTAGGATGCCTTGAGCAGTCCTGGATATCCTTGGATTATTTGTTTGCTAGATTTGGACCACAGGATAGTTTTGACGTCTTTTGGGATGAGTTTTGCACAACCAAGGCAAAGTGGCAAAGACGCCGCCTCGAAGCTTTCAGCGTTGCTTTGCTAGGATTATTGGTGTTTCTTTTAGATGAGAGGAACATTAGCACCCGTCTACAATCAGTGGTAATGGCACTATTTCATGTGAAGCAACGCAAAACCGTTACCATTGTGCCGATGATCTTAGCAGAGTTGTATCGAGCCCTGAGTGAGGTTAGGTGAGGTGTCAGGTATTTTGAGGGAGTAACCTTTTGCTGCAATTGTGGATGATGGAGCATTTACACACCGCTTCCTTACTTAGTCCCATCGACTGTGCCCTGAGGGATCGAGTGGTATGCATTGAGCGTAAGATGAAATCTCCTAAGCTTATATATACCCAGTGGCGTCATAGCTTGGATTGAGTTCCTTTGTTTGAGAACAAACGGGAATGTTTTGTGGGCTTACCTTTGGCTACCTTTAGATGAGATCTTGGTGGGATGTCGCATGCAACCTTTCTTGATGTTGGTAGGACTTAAGTGTGTCAGGTCGTACACTCCCATTAGGGTGATGCGACTGTTGGCCAGGAGACAAGAGGAGCCACCAACTCTGAATTTTCGGAGGCACAACATGAATTTTAGTAGAAAGGCGGCTGACGAAATCAAGTACGTGCAATACTGGAACAATAGAGGATGAAGAAAAATACATTAGTAGAGGACATTGAAGGCCCGAGTGTACTCTGAAGTACTTGATCTGGTTGCAGTCTATCCCACCAGGGGTCAGCACCCTATTGCCAGCACAGCTTAGGGGTCGGGCAGTTCAGACAGATGATTCTGAGGAGGCTTTGGATCAGGATCCTTGGGGTAAGCTTGAGTTGATAAAATCTCAATTAGCGGGATTGCAGCAAACGTGGAGCAGCATGGCCAGTATTTGTTTAGGGTCGGCCTTCAGGAGGTGGGGGCACACGCCAGGGTCTTTATTCCCAGCATCGGTGTTTCTTTACGAGGCATGTTGCAGAGTTTGAGCATGACGGACAGCCCAGGACCATCCCAGCCGGGGGCATCACATCCAGGAGTTGCTTGAGGAGGATTTTTGTTATTATTCACATGTTTTGAGTCTGTTTATGTTGTCTTTTATTTTCTAGCCTTGTCTAGTAGTACTGAAGGTGGTGTCAGAGTCTGTCGTAGTTTAGTTGACTCTGTTAGTCTTTCATTCTCGTACTTCCCATTTTGTAAACCGAAAAGTTTTAAATGAAAAATCCAAAGATATTTTAATTTTTCATTTACAATTTGCCACTTCTTCAGAACTATGCTTGGTCTGATTCATGAGGGACATGATACGTAGGCAACCTACATCGGGTTCGATCGAATCATTTAAAAAAAAAAGAGAGAAAAGAAAAAAAGAGAAATAAAAGAGAGTGATAAGCCAAAAGAAAAGAGTGGGAAGAAAATGATGTAGGATAAGAGGTGCTAGAAAAGAAAGAGAAGAGAAGATTGAAATGAGCGAATTGGGATGATACCATATGACCCTGCGACCCTCAAATCCATTTTAGAACCGCTAATTGTTGCTAGGTGCATTGCACGTAACGTGATATTATTATCTGATAAATGCCCTAAGGTTAACATGGTTGCTTTGTGTTGTTTTTCTCTGTTATCTTTATTCTAATTTCAGGAAGGTGGTTAGTTTGTTGACATCCGAGCAAGTCATCCATACAACACCAGGTCAAAGCACCAGATAGTCATTACTAGCAAAGAAACAGACACAAGAGTTGTAGACCTGCCAAGGGAGATGTTGAGTCGGAATCGGAACTGAAAGAGGAGGTCCGAAGGTTGAAGCATCAGATGGCGGCAATGTATCAGGCCTGGATTAAGGGGCACCCTCCGCCTTCATTCCCTACCAACTATGGAGAAAACCCTGCTTCTGTTCCACCATTCTCTCAAGCTCAGATGCCAAGTACCGTTGATCTTTCCCCACAACACGCACCAGGCTTCACCCCTTACCACTCCTACCCCCGCACTTCAGCCCAAATTTTCCATGCTCCACCAGCCAAAACAACCTCATACCTTGCTCCGACATCTGCTCCTATTTTTGTACCCCTCCGCAAGCTACCCTCCACCGATCCTCTAGTGAGCCCACATTCCCATCTCTAGATACCCAATACTATGCCTGGAACCCACCTTCAAAGTCCCAGATCCTTACTCCTACACTCCCCACTTTGAGCATCATGTTGAAACTGAGAAACCACCCAAGAACGCGGAGCAAGAGGAGATGTTTAGGAAGGTAAAGAGTCTGGAGCAATCATTGAGAAATATGCAAGGGTTAGGAAGACAGGTGAGTGTGGCTTATAAGGATTTATGTTTGTTCCCTGATGTCTAATTGCTTGTCGGGTTCAAGAGGCCCAAGTTTCACTTGTATGACGGACATAGGGATCTTGTAGCTCATCTGAGAGGTTATTGCAGTAAAATGAGAGGCGTGGGGGGAAAAGACGAATTACTGATGGCGTACTTCAGCCAGAGTCTGAGTGGGGCAGCTTTAGAATGGTACACCCGCCAGGACGCCAGCAGGTGTACACATGGGACGATATGGCTCAGGCCTTCGCCCGACACTTTCAGAACAATATAGACATCATCCCAGATCGCCTATCTTTGACCAAGGTGGAAAAGAGGACCAGTGAAAGCTTTAGAGAATATGGGTTCTGATGGAGGGAGCAAGCTGCACGGGTCAATCCTCCGATGGAAGAAGACGAGATGGTTGAATACTTTCTTTAAGCCCTGGAGCCTGCTTACTTTGGCCATTTGATCTCAGTCATTGGTAAGTCTTTCAATGAAGTGGTAAAGATGGGAGAAATGGTGGAAGAGGGGCTCAAGTCGAGCAAGATCATGAGCTACTCCGCTATAAAAGCAACCACACAGGCAATCCAGAGTGGTGTCGGAAGTTTGCTAGGCAACAAGAAGAAGGACGATGTCGCTATGGTTGTTTCTGGACCATGGCATGGCCAGATGGGTTCACCTCATCAGTACACCCATTCTCGATCCCAACCTCAAGCCTACACCCAAGCTCCATATAGTCCACCCCAACATTACTTTCCCTCACACGACCCACAATACTCAGCCAGACCACCCCAATACCATGTTCACCATGCACAGTCATATGCTCAACCCCCTCCTTACCCGCAATGGCGTGCTCCAGCCCCACAAAATACTTATCCAAATCCACAACCCTACCAATACCCTACTGGTTCAAATTTTCGACCAAGGTTGGAGTATAGAAGAGAAAGGCAGCAGCGGAAACAATCTTTCACCCCGCCTGGAGAGTCCTATGCCAGTTTGTTTCAAAGGTTGAGGCAGTTGGACGTCTTGAGGCCGATTGAGTCAAAGATACCAAATCCCCCTCCAAAGAACCTTGATTATTCCCTCAGATGCGCCTATTGTTCTGATGCTCCAGGGCATGACAAAGAGAAGTTCTGGCATTTGAAAAGGGCAATCCTGGAGCTCATTGATACAAACCAAAATGTAGCCCAAAGCCTAGACATGCCGAACATCAACCAAAACCCTTTGCCAGCCGATGCAAAGACGCATATGATTGAAATAGTTCATAAGGATGGGGAGCCCAGGAAGTCTTCCAAGTCTGTCATGATGATTCGGGCCAGTGAAAGTAATTTGGTTAAAGCTCTAGACTCTACCAAAGCAACGCCCTTAACAGTTGAAGGGGTGACAGAGAAGCTGAGCTCGCTCGATTCGAAGACACCAGTGTTGGTCGTGAAAGAGCCTTCGAAAGATATTGGGGCAAGTTAGGAAAATCCAAAAGTGGTAGTGTCAGGGGCTCCAAGTAAGCCCGTCATAGTTGTGAAAGGGGCTCCTATTGCCCCTATTGTCATCAAACCAGTGACCCAGCTGCCAGTGGTGGATACCAAGGTTGTTCCGTGGAATTACAAACAAGTGATAGTGACATACAAAGGAAAAGAGGTCGAGGAAGAAGTCAATGAAACTGGAGGATTGACTCGTTCTGGAAGATGTTTTACCACAGAAGAATTAAGGAAAGCCAAGCCGTTTAAGGATAGTCAAATGCCAGTAAAGAAATCGGTCACCAAAGAAGAGGCTGAAGAGTTCCTGAAAAAGATGAAAGTGCAAGACTATTCCATTGTGGAGCAGCTAAGGAAAACACCGGCTCAGATCTCTCTTTTGTCTTTGCTGATACATCAGATGAACATCGCAGGGCCCTGATAAAGATTTTGAATGAGGCACATGTTCCTGATAAGATCACAGTGAATCACTTGGAAAAGATAGCTAACAAGATCTTCAAAGTAAAAAGGATCACTTTCTCAGATGAAGAACTTCCTATGGAGGGTACGGAACACAACCGAGCTCTTTATCTCACGGTGAAGTGCGAAGATTCTGTTGTTTCAAGGATTCTAGTTGACAACGTCTCTAGTGCAAATATTTGCCCTCTGTCTACTCTACAAAAGTTAAAGATCGGCTTCGAAAGAATCCACATGAACCGTGTATGTGTTTGAGGCTTTGATGGGGGTGGTAAAGATTCTGTTGGAGATATAATGCTCGAATTGTCGATAGGGCTAGTTGAGTTCACCATGGAATTCCAAGGGTTAGATGTGGCTGTCTCCTACAATCTGTCGTTGGGCAGGCCCTGGATACATGCTGCTAAGGCAGTCCCATCATCTCTACATCAAATGGTAAAGTTCGAATGGGACAGGCAGGAAATATTTGTGCACAGTGATGAGGATTTATCAGCTTGTAATGACACAATTGTTCCGTTTATTGAGGCTGAAGATGATAAGGGACCTTGGGTCTATCAAACATTCGAAACAGTGTCTTTTGAGAAGATTCCTAAAGGAAAATGCATTCCGGGTCCTAAGTTATCCTCCGCGTCTTTCATGGTAGAAAATGAAATATTAAAGAATGGTTTTGTACCGGGTAAGGGTCTGGGCTCATCTCTGCAGGGTATTGTGCATCCAGTGAGCCCCAGTGGAAATCCTGGTACATTTGGTTTGGGATTCATGCCCACAGAGAAGGACATGAAAAGGGTTAACAATATGAAATACAAGGCATGGTCACTCCCTAAGCCCGTCCCACACATCTCTAAGTCTTTTGTTAAGCCAGGGCCCAAAAAACCTACAATATCATGAGTGCCAAAACCTATGGTCGATGTTGATGAAGAGTTGATCAAGAGGTTCTAGAGTCTGTTCGATGATGTTAATATGGTAGAAGTTGGTGAAGGTTCTAGTAAAGAAGATGTGCAGCTCGTTGGGCCCAATGTGAAGCTTAGCAATTGGGAAGCTACTCCTCTCCCCACCAGGAAGGAGTTTTGGTAGTTCGCTTTGTTTTCCTTTCTGTTATCTGGGTTATTCCAGGGTTGTAATCCAGATTTTTATTTTTGCTTGTTTTGATGTCCAAACCCTTCTATCCTTTTATTTTCAATGAAATGCAATTTCCCGTTTTTAGTTACTCCTAATAGCGTTTCACTTTGTTTTTCTTTTGTACAATTCTTTTTATGCTGGTTGCAATGACATGACATGCATGAGGAATTTTCAGCCAAGTCTTAATAGCCAATCTAATTCTGAAATAATAATCCAAGAAGTAGAGTATGATGATGAAACAGAATACGATAAAGAAGCAGCATTTGAGGAAATCAGTAAAGAGCTAAAACACTTTGAAGAAAAACCAAAGCCTAATTTGAATGAAACTGAAGCAATCAATTTAGGAGACCGGGATAATGTTAGGGAAACCAAGATAAGTGTGCATCTGGAACCGCAAGTTACGAAAGAAATAACCAAAATATTGTTTGAGTACAAAGATGTCTTTGCATGGTCGTATGACGATATGCCGGGCTTGAGCACTGACTTGGTAGTTCATAAATTGCCAACTGATCCAGCATTCCCTCATGTCAAGCAAAAGTTAAGAAAGTTCAAATTTGACATGAGTGTGAAGATCAAAGAAGAAATCACGAAGAAGATCGATGCAAAGGTCATTCGAGTCACTCGATATCCTACTTGGTTAGTTAATGTCGTGCCAGTACCAAAGAAGGATGGTAAAACCAGGGTATGCATTGATTACCATGATCTTAACAAAGCGAGCCCAAAGGATGATTTTCCATTGCCGAACATTCACATTCTGATCGATAATTGTGCCAAGCATGAGATTGGGTCTTTTGCGGATTGCTACGCGGGATATCACTAGATCTTGATGGATGAGGAAGATGCAGAAAAGACAACGTTCATCACGCCATGGGGAACATATTGCTACCGGGTAATGCCATTTGGTTTGAATAATGCTGGGGCAACTTACATGAGGGCGATGACTACCATATTTCATGACATGATACACAAGGAGATTGAGTTTTATGTAGATGATGTAATCATAAAGTCAAAGAAGCAGTCTGACCATGTAAAGGACTTGAGGAAGTTTTTCCAAAGGCTCCGCAGGTACAACCTTAAGCTCAACCCTACAAAATGTACATTTGGTGTCCCCTCCGGGAAACTGCTAGGATTCGTGGTTAGTAGACGCGGTATTGAGTTGGATATGTCAAAGATCAAAGCCATCCAAGAGTTACCGCCGCCAAAGAACAAAACAGAGGTGATGAGTTTGCTCGGAAGGTTAAATTACATTAGCAGGTTTATTGCTCAGCTCACGACAACCTGTGAACCATCTTTAAGCTGCTGAAGAAGAATGTTGCAGTCAAGTGGACTGACGAGAGTCAAGAAGCATTTGATAAGATTAAGAGGTACCTGTCGAACCCACCTGTGTTGGTCCCACCTGAGCCTGGGAGACCTTTAATTCTCTATTTGACAGTCCTGGATAATTCTTTTGGCTGTGAATTGGGTCAACACGACATCACGGGAAAGAAAGAGCAAGCAATCTATTATCTCAGTAAGAAGTTCAGTCCCTATGAGGTTAGGTACACTCTTCTTGAGAGGACATGTTGCGCCCTGACTTGGGTGGCACAAAAGTTAAAGCATAATCTGTCGCCCTACACTACCTACCTCATTTCTCGCATCTTTCAAAAACCTATGCCCACAGGGTGACTTGCAAAGTGGCAGATTTTACTCACAGAGTTTGACATCATCTGTGTGACTCGGACCGCGATGAAAGCCCAAGCCTTGACCGACCACTTGGCCGAGAACCCGGTGGATGAAGAATATAAGCCACTTAAGACTTATTTTCCTCATGAAGAAGTGATGTATGTTGACGAGGTGGACCATGATGAAAAGCCAGGTTGGAAACTCTTCTTTGACGAAGCTGCTAACACGAAAGGTGTCAGCATAGGGGTTGTACTCATTTCGGAAATAGGGCAACACTACCCTGTAATAGCCCAGCTTTGATTTTATTGCACCAACAACATGGCTGAGTACGAAGCATGCATTATGGGTTTGAGGTTAGCTGTAGACATGGGAGTCCAGGAGATATTGGTTCTGGGAGATTCAGATTTGTTGGTTCACCAGATTTAAGGAGAATGAGAGACTCGAAATTTGAAGCTCATACCGTATCGACAGTGTCTGCACGATCTTTGTCAACGGTTTAGGTCGGTAGAATTCAGACATATTCCCAGGATTCATAATGAGATTTCCAACGCCTTGGCTACTCTGGCGTCAATGTTGCATCATCCAGTCAAGGCTTATGTCGACCCCGTGCATATCCAAGTTCGTGATCAACATGCTTATTGTAATGTAGTTGAAGAGGAAATTGATGGTGAACCTTGGTTTCACTATATCAAGGAATACATCAAGTCGGGGGTATATCCAGTACATGCCACAGGTGATCAAAAGAGAACCATTCGACGTCTGGATAGTGGATTTTTCTTAAGTGGGGGAATCTTGTACAAGAGGACTCCGGATCTAGGACTAGTGAGGTGCATAGATGCTAAACAAGCTCCGACTATCATGGCCAAAGTGCATTCTGGAGTTTGCGGGCCGCATATGAATGGGTATGTCTTGGCAAAGAAGATACTTCGAGCAGGTTATTATTGGCTCACCGTGGAACGAGATTGTATCAGTTTTGGTCGCAAATGTCATCAATGCCAAGTACACAGTGATTTGATTCATTCTCCCCCATTTGAGTTGCACGCAATGTCTGCACCTTGGCCCTTTGTTGCTTGGGGCATGGATGTCATTGGACCAATTGAACCAACAGCATCAAACGGGCATAGGTTTATTCTGGCCATTGATTACTTTACCAAGTGGGTCGAAGCTGTAACTTTTAAGTCCGTGACCAAGAAGGCAGTGGTGGATTTTGTTCATTCAAATATCATTTGCAGGTTCGGAATTCCCAAGGTAATCATCACAGACAACGCTGCCAACCTCAACAGTCTTTCGATGAAAGAGTTATGCCAACAGTTTAAGATTATGCATCGAAATTCCACTGCGTACCGCCCCAAGGCGAATGGAGTTGTTGAGGCTGCTAATAAGAACATAAAGAAGATACTACATAAGATGGTGCAAGGTTCCAGGCAATGGTATGAAAAGTTGCTTTTTGCCTTACTGGGTTATCACACTACTGTTCGCACTTCAGTAGGTGCAACTCCTTATTTGCTGGTATATGGAACTGAGGCAGTTATACTTGCGGAAGTTGAGATTCCATCACTTCGGATCGTTGCAGAAACTGAAATTGGTGATGACGAGTGGGTCAAAACCCGACTAGAGCAGTTGATTTTGATTGATGAGAAAAGATTGGCAGCAGTATGTCATGGTCAATTGTATCAGAAGAGAATGGAAAGAGCATACAACAAGAAGGTGCGTCCACGGAAATTCGAAGTGGGCCAGCTGGTTGAAACGCATCCTTCCCCATCAGGCTGAAGCTAAAGGCAAGTTCGCCCCAAATTGGCAGGGGCCTTTCATTGTGACAAGAGTGTTGCCCAATGGTGCTTTGTATTTAACAGACATAGAAGGCAAATGTGTAGATATGGCTATCAATTCTGATGCAGTTAAGAGGTACTATGTATGATTTCTTTGCTTACCTTCAATTGCATTTTGTATTTGGCATGTTCAAAGTTGAAATGACGAAGGCATTTTGTTCTACTACCCAAACACTTTTATCCTTTGTTAACCCTTTTGAGCCTTATTTATTTTCTTTCATACCCCTCTTTTGCAAATTAGTAGTAGAATTAGAAAATAAGAGGAAGAAAAAGAAGAAAAGAACTAGAAAATGAAAAAAAAGAGGAGAAAAGAAAGAAAAAAAAAGAGAGAAAAGAAAGAAAGAAAAAGGAAAAAGAAAAAAAAGAAGGAAAAAAAACAAAAGAAAACAAAAAAAGGAAAAGCAAAAAAAAACAAACAACTTTTATTTGAACTACGTTCGATTTGATTCCTTTTAAGGATACGTAGGCAGCCTTACGGTTCGGTCCCCTCAAAATAAAAATCCAAAATTCCCCAGACCCAAAGAAACTGGAGCAGAAGCTTTGGTTTTGCAAAAGATCTGATTCCAAAAGTTGTAATTTTGAAACTTTTTCATCTTAAATTATTTTGAGCCTTCATGCCACCCTTTCTTTCTAGCCTTGTCCAAAAGC